TATATTTTTTTTTTATACTAATTTTTCATTCTTCTCGCAATTGTCGCTTAACTTCGTTTTTTTTTTTAATTACGATTCTTTATGCAGAAATATTTATCTTTATTTATTTTATATTTTTTTGTATTCCTTCTTGCAGTATTCGTGAAACGACTTAGTAGGACCTTATTAGGATTGAATAGTTTTCCTTAAGTCTTTTCCTCATCTTTCGTCGACATCGAAATTTCTTTCTTACGAAGTGGTCGGAAAGATTTTCTCTAGGAAAAGCGTCTTCCGAGTAAGAGAGAAAGCAAATATTTGCTGAAAATCGTGAAAAATGGTCTTTCAATTCGATTCGATTCGATTCGATTGAAATTTTATTTTATTTTTTTTTTTAAATAAAGTACTTGGAAAAAATCTAAGTAAACATTTCAGATTTAGTTTTCGTTCTTTTTTCGAATTTTTATTATTATTATTATTTACATATATAGATACTTCCACACACATACATATCTTAATTTGGTATTATCAGAAATATATTATTAATATCACGTATGTATAGTTATTAAATTTGTTGAATGTTTTTACAATATGCAAATTACAAAGTAAACAAAAAATAAGAATAGAAACTCTATGAATGTGTAATAATATATTTTTCTTTTATAAATTAGCTTTTGTGTGTATACTATCCAACGTTTAATCCTTTCGAGTAGTCTTTTATTAATTTTAAAACATTAAAAAGCTTGATATTCTGACAAGAAGTAAAAAAGGAAAAGAAAAGAAAAGAAAAGAAAAGGAAGATGACGAAGAAAGGATAAGAAAAAAGTATAGAGAAATTGAGAACAATAGAAAACACATTGCTGGTATTACTCTCTATGCTTTTGCGAATTTTTTTTTTTTGTTCTCTTTCCTTTTCCATAGAAAATATCATTGTTTGTTTTTTCTTTTCTATTTTTTTTTTTTTTTCCACAGAAGATCTTCCAAAGGTTTCCTTATAAACTCTTATGGGAATTTAACGGAGAATAAGAGTATCTAAGATATTTTTTACATTTGTAAGCATTTATATTTTTTTCCTCAAAAATATCTTTCCATGAGAAGATTTTTCAATTCTATGGAAATACAATATTTGCCTTGTTATTTTATTTTCCAAAGGGAGATAATTATTTCCTTTATTATTTAACACACATTTCAAACGATTAATAAAAACTTGACGCAATTTATTCGAGTTAATTAGCGTGTATTCTTCTTTTTCAATTATTATTATTATAAGAAAAGAGTTCATTATTATGTTGCTTTAATGTCATAGCCTTTCTTCTTCTTCTTCTTCTTCTTCTTACTTTTCTTCTTGCGATTGTCAAAAACACTTCTTACAATTAGAAACAGTTTGTCATTGTCAAATGAACATTTTGTTTGAATATGAAAGAACAAGGGAAAAACAAAGATAGAAGAAAGTAAAGGGTTGGAAAGGGTTGGTGTCGTGGTAATAATGCTGGTAATGGTGTACAAACAAGTAGAACGTGAGGCGTCAGTTTGCAAAATACAACACACGTTTTTTTTTATAGTCTGACGAGTGATTACGTGATTAATTAATTTATGACCCCCATAACGAGTGTAACCGTATATCATTCTGGCCTAGAAATAATAGTTTAACGTTTTGCAAATGCATCTCTGATATTCTAACTGCTAGTTCAGTAATTTTCGACAAGATTGTATAGGTATATGTGTGTGTGTGTGTGTGTGTGTATATATATACGTACGATCGGCCTGACGAGTTTTTGGCTGACTTGTACTACTGCAGACATTATGGTATCATGCCAAAATACCTAATGATTACTTTTTTTATCTTACCCTATATATTCCTAACTTTTTTTTGTTCTTTTTTTAACACTCAATTTATAACGATCATTTAAATTTTCGATCGATTATTTATTCAAGGATTCAAATTAGTTCATAAATGTTTTAAAACAGTATTACGATTAATTATTATTTTAAAGTCAATCAATTATAATCGCTAAAACCAGGAAGAAAGAACACCATAAATATTAATCTACAAATGTTAGACATTACAAGAAAGAGACAAATGGAAAGCATGAAATTCATAAAAATCTCGTAGATAAATAATCAGAATGTTAATAATCACGTTAAAACAAATAAAAATGATATTAGAATAGAGAAAAATATGGCCTAATCAAAAAAACATCGTGCAAAAATAGGGATTTCATTTTTTTTTTTTTTTTATTTTTGTGTGTGTGTTCTCGAACGAGAAACCTTCTCGCGAAAAGAATTCCTATCGAAATACGATTCGCCTTTCAAAGTCACGGCCGATCGGAAAACTCTTATTCCATTTCAAAGGAAATTCTGGTTGTCGTAAAAGAAAGAGAGAGAGAGAGAGAAAGAAAGAGAGAGAAATAAAAAGGAAAAGAAAGAAAATAGAGTAAGAGAAGGTCCATTACGTTATTCCGTTCACAAGAGAGAAAATTCGCTTCATATTCCATCGATATGGTGTCTTTCATCTCGGTTACGTTTCGGAACTTCGAACACGGAAATCATCTTTGAGTAATGTACCCTTTTTCTTTTTTTTTTTTTTATTATTATTATTTTTTATTATTCTCAGGAAATAAACGACGTTGAACTATTTTAGTAGTAGTAGTTGTAGTAGAAGATGAAGAAGAAAACACGTCGAATATTCAACAACGTGACTTTACTTACACGTACTTACACATATACGAACGAAAAAGATACGTGTACTATGTACATACACATATACATAAACGCAACTTATATCTACTTATCTTGAAATTTATTCTCTCCTCGTGTTTCTTTCGAAAAATATATTTTCTTGGAATATATACATATATATATATATATATGTGTTCGTTGGAAAAAATTTATTGGTTTGTACCAGTTACGTGTGTAATAGCAATAGTAGTAGTAGTAGTAGTAGTAGTAGTCGTCTCAGTGGTAAGCCACGAGAAGATGGTTTGTGATGGAACGCGTATAAAGATGAATGCTTGGTACTTCTATTGAAAAATTTTCAAGAAAGGAAGGAACGAGTAGTATAAGAAATAACCTGACGATATCGGTCTAGGTATGTAATATATATATATAGATAGTAGTAGTCTTTTGTTCGATTATTCGAATTTTCTAGAAGCTTTATCGAAGAATTGACCTCTCGATCTTATTAGAATTATTTCGATGATATCCTTGTGTGTGTGTAAATTTTTAATCAAATTAAAACATAACAAAAAAAAAAAAAATAAGATTTTTACTTAATCAACCTATTGAACTATCAATTTTTTAATAACACATATAGTATTTATTATTATTAATATATAATAATTAATAAATATATATATTAGATTGGCAATTAAGTTACTGTCGTATTTGAAAATGTTAATACAAGGGAATATATATTATTGATTCATTTTTATTGAAAAAAATAAACTTTCTTTTTTAAAATGTAATAAAAAAGGGTGGAAACTTAGTTGCCAATCTGATGCCATAAAAGAAATAGTTGGTTTTTTTTGTTCGATGGTCAAAGAACTGATTGAAAAATGTTATTTCTTTTTTCCTAAGAGGATAAATTATATTATTATTTATCTTCGTTTTATCTTTTTTTCATTCTCTTTCTTACCTTATTTCGTGTTTCATTTATACGATGCATAATAAAGTTCGCATTAACGAAATACTTTACGATCGGAAAGAAATTGCAAAAGTTTCTCGTATTGGTATCGGTTGTTCAAATATATAAATATAATATATGTATGTGTGTGTGTGTTTGTATTTGTATGTGTAAAGCCATGATAAGCCGCTTATGTCCTATCGTGGTGCAGGAATCATAACAGCCCTCAAAAATGTTTCTTCGTTGCGTGTTTAAGCCCCGTTGAAAATTCTTTTCTCTCTTTCCTTCTCTATTTCTTTTTTCTTCACTATTTTTTTTTTTCTCTAAATTCTTCTCATCGTCTATATCTTTCAGACTGTTTAAAAAGTTTGGTTTTTTTTTTGTTGTTTTAAACAACTAGAGACGATCAAACTTTCTCCCTATTTTTCTTTATTCTATTTTACGATACTTTTAGTTTAAATCCTGAAAATCTTTTTCTTCTATTCGTAAGAAAAATACAAACTACTACTACTACTACTACTACTACTACTACTATCTATATATTTTTCTATCGTTTTTCTTTTTTCTATTTCCTTTATTTTTCCCCTCATTTTATTTTCTTCTCTGTTTTTCTCTCTCTCTCTCTCTCTTTGATATTTTCTAAGAGTATACGTGGGGGAAGGGGGAATTAAGGGGAAAAATTTCGAAGCGTTTTCTATCGATCGGTATTGTTTAGTTTTACGTTATCCTGAAAATCCGATAATTTCAAAGTGTTCTCTCTCTCTCTCTCTCTCTACGTACAAGCTATTATATAATCGTTGCAAAATTGTATATCTACAAATATGTATTATATATACAGGATGTCTCAAAAGTTTTTATATCAAATTTAAATAATTACAAATTGTTTTTTCTTTTTGTTTTAATCGAGAGTAACATCATCGCGTGATTATTAATTTTCTTAACAACATTAATTGAAAATTCCTAATCCGATACGAGGAAGAAATCAAATGATTGCAATTCTATGTAAAAAATATCAAAACATTTATATATCCGTCCGTTCAATCTTTAATAATTATTTTTATTAGAACTATATCTCGAATGGATATTCTTTAATAAAATCTTTTTTCTTTTTTATCAGATAACAAAATATTTTCTTTATATCTATCCATTTAATTCTCATATATATATATATATATATTTATTATTATTAATATTATTATTTTTATATTGATTATATTCATATCCTTTGTAGGTAAATTCAAATTTTTGAAAAATCCTGTATACACCTACGACGCACCTATACTTATACTTATATATATATATTTATAATTTTTTTTTCTTTTTTCCCAACCCCCACACACACATACGTTATGCAATAAAAACCGTAACGACGTTCGTACGTTCGTTCGTTCGTTTTTAATTCGACCGAAAGGATTGAAATTCAGCAGGCATTGTTATATATTAAATCGTTCCTCGACAGTTTGAGATAAAATGGAATCGAGTTTTATATCGAAACACGAGTCTGATATACGTATACATACATATATATATATAAGTGTGTGTGTGTGTGTATGCGTAACATGGTGGAAAAATGCAACCAACCATCTGGGTACGATTCATTTACATCCTCGTTTGCGTGATATCCTTTGCAACAAACGTTAACGAACTGTTTCTCATTGAGTGGGAGGGGTGGGGGAGGGTGAGGGAGGGTGTGAGGGGAATTTGAAACATAAAGAAAACATTTAACAAAATATATGTTGTCAATGAAATAGCTTTACAAAAGAATACAAATGACTTTACAAACGTATGAAATACGCGGTTTCACACTACTGGTTCGGTCAATTTTTTTCTTGGTCTATCAAAAATAAATAATTGTTTTATTTTATTTTATTTTATTTATTTCTTTTTTTTTTTTCGAAACATCAATCACACGAGAAAAATTCGATTAGTTTCTAACGAATGTTATTTCGTTGTTGTTGTTGTTGTTCAATTCCATTCGCGTTTGATTTTTTAAAAGCAAAGCTTGAATGTTCATTTGGGATTGAATTGCTATTTCATTATCGAAGTTATCTCTGACATCGTTATATATAATACATTTTTATTGGGATTTAAATAATAAAACATACATCGCGATTTGAACATTTCAATATTTTCAAACTACTGTTTCATATCTCGAATACATTTATTATAAATATTAATTATATTATAATGTGAAAGAAAAATTAATTAACAGAATAATAAAAAGAAACATTAGTTAATAAAAGAAAGAATATAATAATTAGTGTTATATAAATGAAAGAGAGAAAAATTAGCTTAATAAAATAATAAATAGAACTATTAGTTAATAAAAGAAAAAAGAAGGGATGTTACGATATATTATTTCGATCTTCTACATAAAAACATGCTATTTAGTTTTACTTTTACGTTCAAGAAGAGAAACAGATAAAGGAGAAAGAGTAGGAGGAATGGGTTGATGGGGTGGTGGGCGGATACTTTTATGTCAGAATTGAGAAGAAAAAAGTAAAAAAAAAGATATGGACGAGTCCTTGGCTTACAAGGAACTCCTAACGATTATGCGAACGAATGGCATTCACGTTTGCAAATAACTTGAGAACCTCTTTAAGATGTCTCTTACTGTTCTCGTAATACCCTTTGTTTTGTGGAGAGCATCTAAGAAAGTTGGGTTCAGTCGAGTCTCGAAGTTAAGGGTCTTCTTAAGGGTATCGAAAAGCTTCTATCGAGAACCCGCAGGAGTCTTCGAATGTGTCCTATCTTATCTGATTCAATTTAAGAATTACGAGTGGGGTCTTACCTTCGTTAACTTTAACTTGTGATACAAAATTTGTCGTTGATATCAAAATTTATATTATATACGAATATATATAAAAAAAAACGAGTTTATTAACAATAAATTTATATAATATTAACATCTTTTTCTTCTTCCTCACTTTATTAGGACTTTGTCTTGTTATAATAGTTTTTTTTTATTGCTATTTCTAGAAACGATTTATATTATAATATAATATATTAAAGTAACAATAAATATTTCTATTACGATCAATTGTGTTTTATTTGAATTATTCGAATTTTGTATTTAACCCTTTGACTGTTAAGAATGCATATATGCGTTTGGTAACAGTTACTAGTGTGAATTATTAACAGATATATATGTGTTTGTTAATATAAATGTAAAATAATGTAATGTTGGTTCGTGTATTGATTATTATTGTTTTGAATTTTTTGTCACTAATGAAAATTATATTATATAAGAGACACAAATAAACACTTTAATTATTAAATATAATTTATTATTTAATCTGATATTAATAATATCAATTAAGGGAAATAGTCGAATTAATAAACTATACCGTTTCTTAAAAACACTTTAACTAAAAGTATTCAACACTCAAAGGGTTAATCTTATTGGTTTTATTCGAATAATTCACATTTTTGATAACGTTAGAAATGAAAATAATAATATTTGTAATAAATTAGATAATTTCTATGTGTTTTAATTATTAATGATGATTTAAAAGGATTAATAGACGAATAAATAAATGATGAAAGTATATGAAAGTCATCGTCAGTAACGATATAAATTCAACGATGATACCAAGCTAACAAGAAACGTAACCTCGTTGAGGAGGAAACATCAACCTGAAGAGACCCTCTCGAGTTCCTTAATTAGCAAGTTAATCTAGTTGCGTCAAAGTTATGTGGTGTTTCGTTAACACAAGGGGAAATTTATTTTACTTATTATTAAAATAGATTGAAAAATAAGAAAAGAAAATAATAAAATAATAAAATAATAAAATAATCATCGAATCTCTAACGTGTTTAACTTTATCATCGATGATCGATCTTTTTTATCATTTCTATCAAAAAAGCAAAGAAGAAGAAGAAGAAGAAAAAAAAAAAAGCAATGTATATCCATGATCGATCGCGTGGACATTGGAAAGTTTGTTCGAAAAAAAAAAAAAAAAAGAAAAAAAATGTAATCATAATCGATCGGTGTCGCATTTGTTTCAGATAATGACGCGCCCTTTGACTTTCCTGTTCTTGGTATCCTGTTTTACCTTCGTCAACGCTCGTACGTATTTGAACGTGTCAGGTGATATTCTTTTAGGTGCCCTATTTCCAATCCACGGTAAGGGTATCTCAGGTGAAAATTGCGGAAAAATTAGGGTTAGTATGATCAAATGTGATAAAAAAAAAAAACAAATATAAAATAAAAAAATTACAAAAAATGATCAGAAGGAAAGTTTTGAAGACACAAAAAAAGGAAAAAGAATTAAACAACTCGATATCCATTTATTCGTTTGATCCAAGCTCGAGGATGGAATTCAACCATTGGAAGCAATGCTTTACACGCTTCAACAAATCAATCAGGATCCTAACATTCTACCGGGTGTTCGTCTTGGTGCTGTGGCATTTGATAGCTGCGACAATCCCAATTATGCGCTCGAACAAGCCTTGAATTTCGTCAAAGGTACAATATCACTCATTGAATTTTTATTAATCAAATAAATCTTCGTGAATTGTTCATTGTTTGAATTTTTTTAATTTCATTTTTGTTCTTGTTGTTTGTAATCTTCTTATCTTATCTTATTTTATCTTTATTAATTGAATTATTTTTTATATTGTTATTATTATAGGATTCATCGCTCACTCGAATGAATTTCACGTTCAAGAATACGAGTGTAGAGATAAAAGCGTACCAAAGTTTTCGAAGGGTGGATTCGACAAAATTGTTGCTGTGTTGGCAGACCAGTCGAGCTCGGTCACCATACAGGTAACTTGAATAACCTACTATTATCCTTTGAACTTTGTCCTTTCGTATGGGATCAACTTTGTTAAACGAAAGGCCATAGGTGACTCTTTACCAAATGAAATTTATTTACGAACCAAATATTCGTTAATTTTCCTAATCGAGTTTTAGAGACGAATAATTTATACACACTTTGAATATTAAACAAGAAGAAGAAGAAGAAGATGATGATGATGAAGTTATCTTGAACATTTGTCGAAATTATGGAATTACGAAAATCGCGTGTGTGTGTGCTTATTTTTTAAATCATTCATAAATCTGATGAAATAAATAAGAGATAAAATAAAGAAAATAAAGTTGGATCTTTTATATATGTATGGAATAAAAAAGAAAAAAATATTGTTGTTATCTTTTTTAGGTGGCCTCCATGTTGAAATTGTTTTCAGTACCACAAGTATCGTATATGGCAACGTCACCAACACTCAGTAATAAAAAAATGTTCCCACACTTTTTCCGTACTATACCAAGTGACCTAAATCAAGCACACGCTATGCTGGAAATTCTCAAGTAAGTTTTTTAAAGAAAAAAAGAAAAAAAAAGAAAAAAAAAAAAACGATCCAACGAAATGGAATATTTAATAATATCGTTGTATTTGTTTTTTTTTTCTCTTTTTCAAAAATTGAATTTTATTCATTTAGTAATAATATTAAAATGATGTTACTTTGATCGAAGGAAATTCGAGTGGACGTACGTTTCGGTGGTTTATTCGGATACAGAGTATGGTAATCATGGTTACGAAACACTGATTTTTCTTGCTAGCTATTATAACATTTGCTTTAGTGCACCACAAATGATTGACAAGGAACACTTTAAAGTTGAGGATTATGACGATGTTATTCGTACGATTGCCAGTAAAACTGATGTTAGAGGTATGCAAATTTGTTACAACATTTATCCCCATACTAATATTTTTTATCTCAATATTAACACAAATTATGTAACGAATAATATTACTCTATAAATATTTATTCAATATTTCTCTTAGTGGTTGTACTTTTTGCGGAAAAATCAACGACCCTTTGCGTATTGGAAGCAGCAAAACGATTAGGTGTTGGTACAAGATTCGTTTGGATTGGTAGTGATTCCTGGTCTAGTTCGAATCATCGAGATTTTGCTGATCTTGATTCAAGTCGTATGGATCAAGAAATGGCAGTCTTGGAAGGTGCTTTAGTTGTCCAACCACTTTCAAGACAATTGTCAGGTTTCGATAAATATTTCACCAGTTTGACATTGGAACACGAGAAAATAAATCCATGGTTTAATGAATTTTGGCGAGAATATCATCGTTGTGGAAATAATGAAACTCAGGTATATCAAATATTTTTGTTTCCATCATTTTTATAAAATCTCAATGAGAAACTTTAACATTGGTTTTTCTTTTCTTTTTAGTATAACAACATTACAAACGAGGATTCATACGTTTCCTGTCTTGATTCTAATTTGAAAATAAATCGTTCGACTGGATACAAGCAACAAAAGTTTTTACATTTCGTTAGGGATGCCATTTATTCCGTGGCTTATGGGCTTCACGATATGCAACAAGAAAAATGTGGAACAAATTATTCGGGAATTTGTCCTGAAATGAGACACATCGATGGGATTGATCTAACGAAATACATTCAAAATGTTTCTTTCAAAGGTATAATATATAATTCTAATTACACATTAATTATATATATATATATATATTCTATTTAAAAATAATTAATTACGTTTTCAGATGACGCAGGAAATAAATTCCGATTTATGGATGGTACCGATGGTCCACCAAGATATTCTATTTTAAATTATCAAAAAAATGACGACGGAGCTTATCGTTGGGTGGTAATTGGTAATTACACAGGTATGATACCGAACTGAATTGAAACAAATTTTGTAATGTTCATTGAAAACCAAAAAAAAAAAGAAGAAGAATAAAAGAAGAAAATAATGAATTGTTTTTGTTAATAGAAGACGACGACAGAACCCCATCATTGTATATAGAAACAAAACTTATGAAGTATCGAAATCAAACGGAAGGTGGTAGAATGAATTTTCCTAATTCAACCTGTTCAAAACCATGCGAATCAAATCAGGTGATTGTTCCTGAGAAACAGGATTATTGTTGCTGGAAGTGTCGAAAATGTGGACTTTATCAATACAAAGTGGATGAACACAGGTGTGAGGATTGTCCTTCAGGTACTCGACCAACGGAAGATGCCAAGCATTGTGATCCAATTCCGGAAGAATATATTGATTATTATAATCCTTGGGCTATTGTTGCTATGGTGGTTGCTACTATTGGTCAGTTTTATTCAAATACAATCGATACAAATAAATTCAATGAAATTTCAAATTGAATCTCTCTCTCTCATTTCAACAACAATTAATATTATTTTTAGGTATAATATTAACCGTTTACGTATGGTTCGTATTTCGAATTTATGGTAAAACTCCAGTGATCAAAGCATCAGGTCGTGAATTGTCTTCCTTATTATTACTAAGTATCCTAGCTTCATTTCTAATGACTTTTGCCATAGTGGTTGAACCAAAAACTGAGACATGCGCTATCACCAGATTTGGTATTGGTTTTTGTTATACATTGTGTTATGCAGCTTTAGTGACCAAGACTAATAGGATACATAGAATATTTAATAATATTTCACACAGTCCACGTAAATCGAGGTAAAATTTTAATTAAAAACAAAATGTTTGTTATATCATACTTTTATAAGAATATTAATATTAATTATCTAATTATTTCATCTAGATACACAAGTCCTAAATCTCAATTGTTAATAACGGGAATATTGATAATTCTTGAAATAATAGTTAATATTACGTGGCTTGTAACCGTACCACCGAGGGTAACACATATTTATCCAACGAGAGATACGAGATTAAGAATATGTCAAGGCCTCGATGATACATCGTATATGGTTAGCCTAATCTATCCTTTCGTACTTATAGGTAAGCCACAAAATTTCATATAATTTATAATATCAGTAAACAATAAATTTGTGTATAATGAAAATTCACATATAAAATATGTTACTTCCTATTCTATGAAAATATAACATAAAATATATTTTATCAACACAGTAATATGCACCATTTATGCTATAAAGACGAGAAAATGTCCAGAGGGTTTTAACGAGACCAAACATATAGCATTTACAAATTACACGACAATGGTTCTGTGGTTGGCATTCGTACCACTTTATCTTGTATCAAGCAGCAATGCAATAAGGGTTGTAACCTTGGCATTATCATTGTCCCTTAGTGGTTTAGTTCAACTTGCCTGTCTCTTCTTCCCTAAGATCTATATTGTACTGATAAAACCGGAGAAGAACACAAAGGAATTGGTTATGGCACAACATAGAAGTTCCTCTTATTTACCGACACCTGCAACCCCTGTCGTAGCATTAAACGGTAATCCATTTGTGTTTCATACCACGGAACAGAAACCATGACCCTTGGAATTGTCCGAAAACTCTGGCGAATGGTAGAATTCCAATTAATAATTCGAAACAATGAAGAAGCTTTTCAACCGTGCTTTAATTGAATAATAATAATAATCATACATACATATTTTAATATCATTTCTCTTTACTGGCGTTTTCTGTATACGTTTAAATAATTTTACGTAATATTAAACGCTTAAACGTAGCTCTTACAACTTATTTTTTTGTCTTTTTTTTATCAATACAAGTATCGTTTTATTATTTTAAACAATTCATTGAAATATGCGTATTGTTGTTGGTAGTTTTAATCATCGATTGAATAAGCACGCTGTTAATGTTCAAATTTGGATGACAGTCATTTTGGATATATATATATATATATAAAAAAAAAGAACATTCAATTGACGAGGTTTATTAAAACGCCTAAGAGAAATATTTTGATCCTTTAATTATAGGATTAAATAATAATAATAATAATAATAAAACCATCGACTATACATATCGTTATAATTAAGGTAATACTTAGAGTGGTATAAATTTAATCGACAAAATATAATTAAACATCGTATGAACCACGAGTAATTATGAAATCTTTTTTAATTACATCAAACTTTTGAGCTACGTAATATCTGATTTATGATGATGAATCCGATAAGATGATAATGATAATACACATTATGCAATTAGACCAATCCGATTCTTTGGTTCCTGTGATGAGAGTGATACTATATTTACGATAACAATCTCAAACATATCGAACTTGATCTTGATCAACTCACACACACACACATAGATATTTATTTAAATTCCTTCATTATGCGATTTATATATCGAATAGTTAATTAATTAATTAATTAACGCACAGTCCGATTATATATTACCGTAAGCAGTCAACTATTTTAAACAAAATGTTTCTAACCGATTATGAATAGAATGCATTGTCTAGATCAATGTTTCTCAATCTGTAATCTGCAGAACAAATATAATTGGTCATCAAAATATAATTATCTAATTTGTTTATATTTATTATAAATTGTTTTTACAATTTTTGTTTTTTTTTTTTTTTCAATTTATCTTTAATGCACAACGATTTTCTTTAATTTTATAGCAACTTTAAATTTATTACAATATTCTGTATACTTGTTCGAAATTTCATTTGATTGGTGATAAGAAAATGATTGATTGGTCTGCAGCATGCAATGAAATGTGAGAGAAACACTTGTCTAGATATTTATTAATTAACTTTTACGAATTTAATAAAAAAGCACACACACATGGGTATTATAAAATATATATATATATATACACGTATATACATGTATAGGTTTACATGCATATACATAACCAACGAAACTAAAAAGACCAAAATTTGTATATATTATATATAATATACTAAATGGTTTATCAATACAAAAAATATTGACATTTAATCTTATTCTTAATTATAANAAAAAAAAAAAATAAAAAAGAAATACGAGATGCATGCATACGATATAAATATTTATTTGAAATGTTTCTTCACAAAGATAATATATAATATATATTTATCATAATAATTTTTATGGGTGGAGGAGGAGGGGGGGTGGCGAGAGAGGCTAGGGAATACTTAATAATAAAGACTCGTTATAATAACGTTAGTCGAAGACACGATGGAATGAAAAATCTTTGTAACGTGATTCAAATACAAGGATAAATGCCATGATCAAAAAATGTAAGTACAATACAACAAACGAGGTCTCGAAACCTTGCGCTATATTGAAGATATATATAATAAATTTAACAAATAATATTATTAATAATATATCTAATAATAATAATTATTATTATTATTATAATAATTGTAATATAATGATAATATTCTTAATAATAATGATAATAATGATAATAATAATTACAGTAAACATTTGTAATATTATATCTAATCTGTACAACATATACAAAAAAAAAAAAAAAAACAATATTTTTCGACACGTATTTATCATCTGTGATGCAATGTAGTGGTCGAATTATTTATCTTAACAATTAAAGAAGAAGATCAACAATTGCAAGACACGAACATGAGTCTAGATTATTGTTTTTTTTTTTATTCTTTTTTTCTTTTTTACAAGAACAATTTTCTTCGAAATCGTGGAAAAGTGAATAATCGTCACGAAACATCACAATGATCACGATTTTGTTTTGTTAATCGTTTATCCAAAAACTCATGGTTTCAAAACTCGATCAAATATCGATATCACGTAAGTACAAATTTATACAAAAAGTATAATGTTCGATCTGGACAAAATCGAACTCGATGGATAAATCACAAAGAGAAAAATAACTTGGCACTTATATTAACACTTCGTTTAAACATATTTAGTAAAACAATTGATTATTATTCGTTCCATTGCTAAGACAAGATATATTGAAATTGAATTTTTTTTCAATGAAAATATTACGAATGAATTATTTTCCATTAGATAGGAAAAAGAAATTAATTTTTAGGGCATATATTGCATGGAAGAAATATGATTTATAATATTTTCAATTTGATATTCAATAATTAAGAAAAAAAAATTCGTCCTGTTTTGAACTTTCCCGATTACGTGATGTTATAATCGGCATTTGATTTGTATTCAAATGTAACTAACATTAAAATTTAAGTTCGAGAAAAAATGTTCAAAGTTAAGTATATATATATATATGTTACTTTTAATTTTTTTCCTTATCAGATAATATTTCGCATGCAAATATTTGAGTCCAAGAGTGTTAAAAACAATTTTTATGTTATATCTTACGATTAGTATCGGTGCAAAAAGTATTATATAGAATACTTTGCGTTAAAAAACAACATTTGTAAAATTGAAAAAAGAAGAGAAAAGGGCACGAACTATTTATTCGGCCATTATCTAAGATTGTCGAACAATTCTTCAAAAAAAAAAAAAAAAAGACAAATGAATGATTTATCGGCAAATACTTTTTTTTCCCCCTTTTGTTTTTCTTTCCAAATGTAAAAATCTCATCTCGCACACACACACACACACGTCTAATCTACATATATTTAAATATTTCTTTAATTATTATTAATTAATTCGATCACATCACAAATACTTAAGTTTTTTCTCAAAATCGTTTACAATATTAATCGATAATTATTTGTATATCCTAAATATTCGACGAGGTTTATATTAATTTTCATTTTTACAACACAACGGCGATTCTTAAGAATGTAGAACGTTCTTAAGTTTAAAAATTAATCTAACAATCCTTCTATATATATATATATTTATTATTACTTTTTCTTTTTTTTTGTTTAATTATTATTAAATCTATACGATATATGTGTGTGCTGTATCGTGTATTGCTCGTTTGCCACGCAGAATTGGAATAATTCATTAGGAATGTGATTTTAAACGATGATCATCAAAAATTTTATCTAACCTTATCTACATTACTAACATTAAAATCTACTATACAACTTACAATTATTGCTCTTTCATATATAAACAATTTATAATAATACAGATTACTTAAGTACTATTTTAAAAAATATTCTATGAACATTTCAATACGCAAGACAATAAAAATAACTTACAAAAATATAGTAATACGATATGAAAAAAAAAAAAAAATACGATCAGATCAATGATCGCGTCAATCAATTCGAATTTTCTAAACATGAACTCGATAAAATGAAATAATACTAATCGATTTAAAAAGGATGCACAATTTAAATACTACAAAATGTACAGATATTTATAATAATATCATTTAATAAGATATAAGTCTATATAATTATAACGTAACTAATTAATTATACAGGGTGTCCTAAAAGTCATAATAAAACTACTTTTTTAATCAAAAACAATTGAAATGACTGACGGTACTTATACTATTGAAAGAAAATTTTAATCGGTAATTCATACCCCTTCGCGAAATGGAATACAATTCAAATAATAATAAATCTAATAATTTTCTATTATTTAAAAAAAAACGATTAATTGATTTTCACTTTGATATTTGTAAGATGACTCTCTCAGGATACCCAGTGTCTAGTATAAATTTAGTTGAAATAGGGGATTGATGGTAAAGTAATTAAAATATGATTTTCTTTAGCAGCTCGTTACCGAAGAAAATTACTTGGAAAAGTAGAAGAACGAAGTGCTTTTCAGCGATATTCATTCACTTTGTAACTCGTGAAAGGTATAAGGTAAGCGTTAACTTGTTTCACTCCAAGAGAATTTCTATTAAAACCTGGTAAAGAGTAGTAGTAGTAGTAGGTAGTAGTAGTAGTAGTAGTAGTAATAGAAGTACGGTCTTAACATAAACTTAAATAGTATTTTAGAATAGATTTTCGAAGGAACGGGATGATGAATTGTTGCTTAAGAAGAATTGAAAGGAAATGTGAACTTATAAATATATATATATATATATTTTTTAATAAATATATATGTATAAGTATAGTAAGAGCTGCCAAGGGCAAAGTAATATCTTCGTTTCTGGAAGACTATGATCGTCATTTAAGACGATCAAATGATTCAAACTTCTTAAATCTAATTCTCGAAATATCAATGCGTGTACAATAATGTGCGTTTGGTGTGTGTATGTGTGTGCGTTTATTTTTTTTTGCGTAAATGCGTGAAATTCCTTTTATTTTATTTTTTTCATCTTAATCTCATTTTATTAAGTATCTAACACGAACGATGATGTCGTGAATAATAGCTTAATTTATTTTCTAAGGACGACAAAAAACTCTATGACGGAAACGAGAATAATTTTCGCGATTAGATTACAGGGACGTATTCATTTTAAGGCACATTGCGTATAAATTGGAGTAGGGGAGGGGTGGTGGTCTCGTATTTAAAACTTTTTTGTTCTCCTTAATAATAATAATAATAATAATAATAATATAAAAGTGTTTCTTTTTATATAGCCACAATTTTATCTGCTATTTTGATTTTATTATATCGAATGGATATAATTACCCAACGAGAGAATAGTAATGATTAAAATAATATTGTAAAACAAATTATTTATTAATACAATATATTATTTTCTAGGGGGAAAATAATTCTCGTTTTTCCATAAAGAATCTCGTCGTCCTATGCAAAACGTGCACGCACGTTTGCTCTTAAGGCCTTTCATGGACGGAATGGCTGATAAGGATTCTTTCTTTCTTTTTTTTTTTTTTTCTTCAGAATGATTATTAAAAAAAAAAGAAAACTATTGAAACGAAGTTTATCAAAGTAATATATCTATGTACTAATGTTATTACAAAATTAATTATCTTTAAGATAATGGTTATTAATAATTAATTCGCGATTTATTTCTATTCAACGAGATTTACGCGAAGGTGTTTGCACTCCTCCGGCGCGATGACGTCACTTAAAAGGACGTCAAAAATGAATATAACATAAATTATTTAAGTCACACAGCCGCTCGGTTCGCTAACGCACGAAAAACGCGTTCGTCCGTTGCTTCTCCCCATTATTATTTCTTATCATTTTGTTTTTTCTTTTTTTTCGTTTTTTTTTTTTCTTTTTTTTTCTTTTTCTTTTAAACGCGTTAGAGTATAGCTTACGTTTATCTGTACATATACATTTTTTCTAAGCTTCGTAATACTTAAATGTGTATTTATTAAAAATTAAAAAGAAGAAAAAGAATGAAATGATCAAGACGTGTCGATAATTACAACAATAGACTGCACCAGTCGAATAATTAAGAAATATTAATATCTTATGATTTATTTTTATAACAAATTATATTTTTAATGATATCAAATAAATCATAAAATATATAAATATTATTTTTTGATCGACTCACACATTGGGTCAGTTCACTTTCATAAATATTCTTTTTTTTTTTTTTTTTTTTTTTTTTTTTTCTTAAGAAAATAGTATAGAAAAAAAGACACAGGTTTTTTTTTTTTTTAAACATCTAGTACCTACATCTTGTCTATTGTTATTTTTCTATGATTTATCGTGGAGAGAAGAAATAAATTAAAAAAAAAAAAAAAAGAAAGGTTAAATATATTCCATCGAGAAGTTTTCGATCGGTAATTATGCACTTTTGCATTTTGGTATTTTTGTTGTTTGTTAAAAAGTAACAGGAGGATGAATATTTGTTTTTGTTTGAACGTAGATTGTTTCGAGATAATTAAAAGGAACTCTCGCGTTTGGTACGAAGCTGTGCAGCTTCAGGGCTCGGTGTCATGGCAGGATTATCGTAAGCGTAATCTAAAGTTGTATCTTCGCTAGGATGTCTCCTTGAAAGAGGCGTACTAGTTGTATTAGGTGTACTATTGCTGTTTGAATTATCCTCCGAGGAAGATACGGTTGCACTTATCGTCGGCATAGTCAATTTCAAATTATTTTGATTATTGTTCGGATTTTTTACGTTACCATTTTCTACATCATCCTGTACCTTGTTGTTGTTAGTCGCTTTCTGAAATTTCATCTGTTTTTTAATTAAAGTAATATATTTTTATAATATTATTTTTTTATTTCTATTAATTATATTTTTTTCATAGCTTAAACATTTATCTTTTCTATTTCTTTGTTTTTTTAATATTCAATTTTATTATTAGCTATTTATAAAGAAAATTTTTGTATTTAAAAAACAAAAAGAAATATTTCTTTAAATATAATTTTACCAACCTTGACCCATTTTTTGGAGAACACGTTACGTATCGCGTTTCCAATTTTGTTGCATCGTACAAAAGTTTTGATTAGAAGAAAAACTATGACCATAATAGCCAAACACGTTAATGTTAATGTAACGCTTAACAAAATACGTAGCCTGTCGACTTCTCCTGAAAAATATTCAAACTGTTATTTATCCGTTCGACGCGATAAAAAAAAAAATATTATTATTATATTTTTCTATTTGAAATTCGTAAGAGGGGAGATTATTTCAAAAAAAAAAAGAAAGAAAAATGTAATAAAACACACGCGGAAGTAACAAATTTTCACCTACGAAATCAACGAACCGTTTGTTTTCTTTAGCGATTATAACGCAATTTCGCTTATTCTTTTGATAAGAAATTTTATATTTCAAGACTTTCACGGAGTATAAAATCTACCATGCGCGTCGGTCATTTAAGTGAAAGCGATTTTTACTTAACTTTTAATATACATTGTTTTAAAAGGTATAGTATAAATTAGATAATTAATGTTACCGGAAGAGAACGAAAACGAAAATGAAAACGAGAACACGTGACTGTAGCTTTCATTTGCATAAATAAAATCTAACGGTTGTTAAGAGAACTGGAATTAACAGTTATGCTAATTTCTTGATAATAAAATTTGTTGTCAGGTTATACTATAGTTCGATTATTAGAACGATTATTTAAGTTCAATTATTTGATCGATATTACGAATTTATGCATTTATTCGATTTGAATTATTTTCAATGATAAAAATCCATATATCAAATTAACCGTTCCTTTAATTATTTCCAATGACGAATGTACTATTGTTGTAATTATTTTTTTTTTAATGAATTTGTTGTTTCGTTTATCAAGAAAAATAATTGATTAAGTTTCGAGAAGAAATTTGATTTCGATAAAATGTCGGCATCGAAGTCGTTGAAATCTCCACACTCGGACGAATCTTATTCGTTGTATTTTATTTGAAAGGTTTAAGGATGACTCAACGACGAATTAGCATTCACCAGAGGTACAAACTTACCTCTGAGCTGATCGTACTGGTTCAGTTCCTCACGGAGGGCGTACTGATTTAATTCTTTACGGAGGGCGTACCGTTGATCATAAATATATTCTGAAAAGTAAATAAAATACATGACCAGAATTCATATTGCCCATATTTCGTTCTATTTTATTTGTTATTATTGACAAATATCAGTAATATCAGATTCATATATCGTCAATGTTCAATCAAAAGTTACTAATATTTATTCTAATATTCCGAATGAATTTGGTAAAAAGAATAATTGTAATAAACAAAAATACAAATTGTTATAATGCATATTCGATGGTGTTAACGATCGGTAAATTGCATTTTTCATTGCAATTATCAAACTTATCGTTCGTGCAATATTTAATTTGGTATCGAAGTATAAAATTAATCGTCATTTATTATCGACCAACTCGGATTCTTGTTTTTTTTTTCTTCTTCTTCTTTTTTTTTATCATTCTGAACGTACAATTTATTATTACCGTCGACAAACGTGTTTATATGCGAAATAAATTCGAAGTTAACTAACGAATCAAAATCGATATCATTTAATTTACTTTACTTGGCATATTTTTCTATCGTTTTTTTTCTTGGATTTAAACACACAAAAAAAAGAAAAAAAAATTCTTCATCCTATTATTATAGTATGATAATATAAACGTATAGATATCAAACGTGTATTTAACATTATCTGAACGCAGATAAAATATATGAAAAATATCAAAGAAAGGAATAAATGAACGATGAAGAAAATTAAACGATCAACCACGAGTGAAGTTATGTATCCCATTCCCCATAAGAAAGGATCTAACATTCTCGCCCTGTCACGTCCCTTGGTAAAGCATTATGATTGATCACCGAGTACCAAAAACGTTTATCTCGAAAGAAAAAGAAAACTCATACTGTAACTTGATTGGAAGAAAATCTATTCAGGTTTCCTACCTGCAATGTCATCCATAGAACAAGCACCATTAATGAGTAGAAAAATGATCGAAGATTCACAAGAAACGATTTTTCCAATGTTACGATACAACCAATAGAAATATGGAAATGGAAATAGGTTATCAACTTTTTAGAAAATAATCATTAAAATAAACAAAAAAATTATTTAATTGACTGAAATTAATTGAGACTCACAATTTCCATAGTTTTTCTCTTACGACACGAGAGTTGCATATTAAATTAAATATAAGTAAGATAATAAAGGAACAAAGAAATGTTATGAACTTTTAAGCAAAAAGAAAGAAGAAATTGAGATTGAAACTTATTCGGGATTTCCACTATTTTTCTACATCAGACTCTTGAAGTTTAGTTGATCAAAGAATAAAGAATAAAGAAAAAATGGCGTCAGTTAGTTGAATGCGCAAGCGTCCGATGTTTAGACACATCCAGTTCGACTTTAAGTTGCTTCCTAGCAACCTGCTTGCAAACAAAACGTAGAGACGGTCGTTACCTTCTTCGAGTTACTTGGGTAAAAGGCATCGACCGGATCGACCAACCGTTCACTATGTTTCGCGTGAGGAACGCGATGACTATAACCAAGTGAAGACGAATGAGGAGGAGGAAGAAGAAGTAGAGAAATTACTCGGGAAAACCCTGATTTTCTATTCCTTCAAACATAATACTATTGTGTGTTGGAAAGTTCTATTGATTTATACAATACATTCAAGAATAACAAAAATACTAGACAAAATTTAATTGAAGTATTTTCAATATTTATAAACTTCAATTAATAAAAATTTCATTATTTTATATTTTCATCAATAAATATATATTTATAATTATTAAAATATTATATTAAAATATTGATTATTATTAAAATAAATATATATATCGAATATATGTTTATATGAATGGGTAAGAATATTCTGAATAATTTAATACCTGTGGTTGGTTGGTTGGTTTTGTTGGTTGATTACTTGCTCGACAAGTCTTTGCTATCAAGGAGTAAGAAAAATACCTTAACGTGTAGTAGCATTTATACAATAAGAATCGATTTGGAAGGTAGTTTGAGATAACGCGTAATACCCTAGTATATATATCTAATAGTATATAGAAGTATATAAGTGACTCATTGGACTCGCGATTACACTTAGTTCGTTAATATATATCGTATAATATATATCTACACACTTATCTTTTTCTTTTCTAAACTGATGTAGAAAGAAAAAGTAAACTAGGTCGACATTGGCATAATCGTTGTTTAAACGTATTACTCAGATATTACTGTTCGTTATAAAAGACTATCCTAAAATTTAGAAGTTAATCAACAAAATTTTCTTTCATCATTTATTTTTAATTCATTAAAAGTATGATCCTTGATTACTATGAAAAACATTTCCAACTATTGCGAATTTTTCTAAATTATAATACAAAATTGAATATTGTATTGTAATAAAAATTCTTAAATTTAAATCGTAATTGTAAATTTATCGAAGGTAAGAAATTCGTATTACTAAAACGAATAATGATAGAGAAATGTTTAATTAGGAAATACATATGTATTTGCTGGCTCGTAATTGGTCGTTAAGAGATACCTGCTTGTGTTAATACATTATGTCAACTTTATGTTAGACACCTGACGCAATAATCCATCCTCCACTTCCTCCTCCTCCTCCTCCTCCTCCTTTCTGTATGTCTATTTTTTTCTTTTTTTTTCTTACGAAAGTATCGAATATCTCTTAAAGATCAAATATTTCAATTTGAATTACCTTATGCTTTAAGGTACAAAGATACAAAAGGAATTCTTCTTCGATGTGGAAGTCTCGATTGAAAAGAGGAAACGATCACATTAGAAAAAGTTTACCCTCTAGACTTTTGCCTTCGCGAACAAAAGGACGAAGCTGTTAAAGAACAGGGCCGTATTTATTCTTACTTGAATTTTGTGCAACCTTTGAGATATATCTTCCAAACGAAACACGTACAAAAAAAGAATGATATTAAAAAATAAAAAGGAGCCATGAAAATAAAGAAATAAATAAATAAATAAATAAGGAAATAAAGAACAAAAAAAAAACGTATGAAATTGATTAACTAATAAAAAAAAAAAAAGAAAGAAAAAAATCCCAGGAGAAAATTATAACGAATATATAAAAAATGTATCAATTTGATTTAACTGAAATCACAGCGCGAGGACAAAAAGAAATTAATATAAATAAATGTGAATAAATAAATGAATAATTCAATAAGTTTGGATAAAAATGAAAAAAAAAAAATTAAAAAAAAGATATGCAATAAATAAAAAACAAAATAAATTTCAAACGATTAAAATATATATTTGTTTTTAATGCACACACACACACACACATAATCGTGATGCGCTTAAGAAGGTTCGTAAAAGTACGAATGCGGTCCTGGCTTGGTCGAGAGGCAGAAAAAGGAAAAGGAGGAGGAGAATAAAAATGAAAATGTAGATGAGGATAAAGGTGGAGAAGAAGAAGAAGAAGAAGAAGAAGAAGAAGAAGAAGAAGAAGAAGGTTCTTTGCAAAGACGCAACGAGAAGGAAACGTAATCGGAGGCAAGGTGTAACGCGAGATGCTGAATAAAAGGGGCCCAGGAGGAAAGTGTGGTGGGGTTGCTCCTTTAACTTGCTCCCACGTAACTCAATACATACAATTTTTAAATTACCTAGATCACATCCCTCTTCTTCAAGAAAAAGAGAATGCTTGGTGTGGGGGAGGGAAAGTTGAAAGAAGAATTTGTTCAAGAAGGTGTCGGTAATGTCAGCTTTTAATACTTAACAGATATAAGGATAGTAATTCCTATCTTTTTTACTGCACGATTGAAAGAAAATAAAATTAGATTTTTATCTGACATTAAAAAGAAAATGAAAAAAATAAAATATATTCGCACATTCTATACTTGACTATAAAATAATATATCAAGATTTGTTATTAACACTATTTAATTCTTATTATCATATATAATATAAAAATACATGTTATCAACTTTATTATTATATATCATTAATTTATTTAAATCAATTTTATTTTCTCTCTCTTTCAGATTTTAAACAACAACAATAAAATTGATGCGTTTTTTTTTGTAGAAAGAAGAAAGAAGACTGGAGGAGGAGACTTGTTTTTTTTTTCTTTTTTGTTAAAAAAAGGGAAAGAAAGAAGATTCCTTCCGAGGAGACGAAGATGCCAAAAAGAGAAAAGAAAAAGGAGGTATATAGAAGCCGGTGAGTCATCAAGCTGGTTCGTGGGAAGCCAACGGGGACGGTCAGGTGTAAAGTCAATGGACGCGGTCCTCGTCGAGCGTATATATGCGCTCCGGTGAAGATTTGCGGAAAGCAGGTAGTAACCGGACAGGAATAAAATTATTTCTGTGTCACGCTATTGGACATCACATTTTAATATATATATATATTATCTATTTTGCATTTTTTTTTATGTTCTTTCCTTTTTGTTTTTTTTCTTTATGGTTCTATTATTTTTTAGGCCATACGAAATTGTATTTTAAATATCAATAGTATTATATAATTTTATCCTAACTTTCTATATATATATATATATATATATATGCACTCGTAAAGAGTCCTTGAAGAATCGCATATCAATTTTGTTTTTTTTTTCTTTTTTTTTTCTGTAGAATTTAATATCTCTCTGAAGATTTTTATTTAAATGTTAATTAATTTTTATTGGAAGATCGAATTATTTTTTTATATCGATTTTTAAATTGCATACATTTTTGTAAAGTCATCGAAAAAAAATTCCGAGGTTAAGAGTATTGTTTTGTTTTTTAATAATTAAACGAAATTTATAAGATAACAACACGCGTTTATCGATACTCATTGGTAGGAATTTAATATACAAGCGAATAAGATCTAAAATGATAGTTCTGCTATTAAATTTCACATCGTATAATGCATGGAAATATGATCGAACATAACAACTAATTGCGACGAACTAAGAAATAAATTTCTTTAGGAAAAATATTGATCATATTGATATTAAAGTTTGTTCAGTTTGTGAAAGACAAAATTTATCATCGATTATTCTGAAATTCGCGCGCGTACAAATAAAAACTAATTAATTTCTTTAAAAGAGAAAAAAAGAGAGATAGAGAAAGAAAAATAAAACAGAATTGATTGCATTGAATCTCTCGCGTTTTTCGAAAACTTTTAAAAAACGATATAAATTAATATTCGTCATATATATATATATAAATGAACATTTTAGAAATAAAAAAATATAATTTGATGTACTAGAATATATCACCTGATCAAACATTCGACGCTATCGTGCGTTAATACTTATTTGTTTTATTTTACGTGCGCGCATTAATTAAAAGAAAAAAGAAAAAAATAGTACAAAATAAATGTTGTACAGGTAAAAAAATATTGTTATCAAAGTTAAATCTATGTAAAATTCGAATTGAAATTATGCGTAAGATGTATTTCTGTGAATTGTTTATTAAAGTGAATGTGTATTATCTATACTCGTGAGGTAGTAAATTCATCCGCAGAGCCACGGTAAACTGGTTTTTCATTCATAAAACGATGGCACGGAGGAAAACGTTGGCGTCGTCGTCTTTTCTAGGAAATTATTGTAACTTCTGTCGTAATCTTGTCTTACGTACGGAACGAGAATAACTAACTTGTTTCCTTCGCTTTAACTAACGTATTCAAAAAGTTTATATTATCTCAAGTATACGAGTAAAAAAAAGTACATTCCTATATATAAATATTAGAAAATATTTTAAAATAGATTTAACAAATTGTATTCGTTACTAAGTATGATAATGCATTTTCTTATAGAACGTTACTTTAAATATAATAAGAAGAAGAAGAAGAAGAAGAATAAGAAAAAAAGAAAGGAAGTAATTTGTGTCGATTTGCAAATGTAGGAACGTGACTCAAATTTGTTTAGGTCTCATTGAAAAGATTTCTGTGTTAGAGTAGGGGATGTATTCTTAAAGAAAACCTGTATCGTTGAATACAGGAACCTAACGTCAAGATTTGAATTCTCTATTTTTCTCTTCCATCTTCTCCGTAGTAGCACAAGTTCCTAAGGGTAATATTTAGCCGACAGAAGAGAAGGGAAAGGATCCCATCCCTTTTTAGAAGGACCACCAATGTATTTCGTAAGCATTTTATCTAAACCTTGCACGAACATTCAAAGTTTCCTCTTAACAGAAAAGAAAAGAAAGGAAGGAAGACTCAGCACAGTAAAAAGGTAACAAAAAAAAAAAAAAGAAGAAGAAAATAGAAAAATGCATTAGAAACCTTTGTTAAGAAAAATGTATGATCCATTTGAAAAAGAACCTCTAATAACTGGTCGCATTCTAAACAAATCTCGTAATAAAATTTCAGGTAGATATTTTTGGTTCTTTTTTTTTTCACGAATATATAACAAAGAACCAACCCATCATTTTTTTTCTCTTACCTTGACAATCTCTCCGACAATCTTCGGGTTGATGATTATGATCGTCTGGGTTACAAATGGTCGAGCATGGTCTGCACAAAGTATCGACTGCACTACAATATTCCAAACTTGTGCAATATAATGTGCCGCATTTAGTTGCATTTATATTTAATCCAATTACCATTGAACTCAATATAAAGAGTTCAAAAATAATTATTGTCGAAAATTGAGACATGGTTTTTTCTTCTTTCTCTCTTCCTCTTTTTTTCTTTTTTTTTTTTTTGGATACTTTTATCTCTCTCTCTTTCTATCTCTCTAAGAAATAGTTTGGTTGTCAAAGTTTTCTTTTGAAAATCACGGCGGTCGACTAAGAATGTTAGAATTTCTGTGATGATCCTCGAATCGTTCTCTCTCACTATCGATCTTGGCAACGTCAAAGCTCGACATTATGGGCTTCGTTTCACGCTCGAACGAGTATTCCTCGCGGTCATCTTAGATGTCCTTTAACGGTACAACAACGGAATCTCTTTCCAGGAGGGTTCCATGGACCTATTGATGGACGCTGGAAAGTATAAAAAGAAAGAACACTCATTCGCATGAACGAACTAACGGAACTCGTCTAATATCGATCCAGTCAAAAGATTATCATCGGTTGCCATTTATTCGGATTGGTTGTTTTTAAACAATTTTTATTTGTTTTGTCAAATAAATCTAGAAATACTTATTATATACCTATGCCAATTTATTCAATTATTAATATAAATTGTTATATAGGTTATTATTGTTTTTAATATAATTTGTAATTAATATCTTAAATGTGTATCGTATAACTTTTTCTTTTTTTCTTGGTATTAGAATATAAATACGTAATGCAATTAAATATTTTTTTACGTATGTAATAAATTGATCTCGATGATTACAATTTATTAAATTTATTGCACCATATTTTCTCTTTATTTTTTGTTATCGCGATATGAAGAACGAATTTATGTAGTTACGTATATAAATATGTATAATATATTATATATATATATATATATACATACATATTGCATATTTTATACTATATCAACAACGCTCGAATAACAAACAGCGTATATTTGTTCATAATTGACACGCGAATGACTCACACTTGAACAACGTCGAAAAAAATCTAACTTTATCTTTACGTTCTCTTTAAAATTCCATTACGAAATAAGACGAGAAATTGAACGAGAATAAAGTAATCGATTTTGAATCATCGCTAATCAAGGACACATATCGCGCGCGAACAGAAAATCAAATAAGAATATTTTTGAGTTAACAAAAATCAAATTCTAAAGTTCAATCTTTTTGCAAACCGAATTAACTCTGTAAGCTGATTTTTTTACTAAATCATTGAATATTATATACAAAAAGAAATATTGATCTGGAATTAAAAAACATTTAATGGGTCAATATAATTTTACAAATAATTTTAAATTAATTGTAAATTACACAAGAATAATTAAATATATAATATAATTGGTCAGTGTGTTATATATCGATACAAAACACAATACAAAAATTCGAAATTTTTTTTTCATGTATTTTTTGTAAAATATTATAAATAAATAGAATAAAATTTTATAATAAAAAATCAAGATGTTTGCATACTAATAAAGTAAAATTAGAATCAAAATCAATTATTTCTCGTTAAAATCTACAATTTTGAAATGGGACTGTACACATACGTTCCACCTAACATGATTGTACTTTTCCAACGGTATAAACGTAGCTATACGCGTGTAAAGTTTGTCGTTAAATACACATACACGTATATATGTACGAGTATGTATACGTGTTTTATGCGTCGAAGACGAAAACGTAAATTCATCAGAAACGAAGGACGAAAATGAAACGAATGAAACGGAAGTTGAGTTTCGAGCAGATCTCGTACGATCGGCATGAATGATTATGCGAGCGTGCATGTGGTACGTATCGATTACGCAACGATTCGTAACTTCGTGTTGAAGTTACGATAAGAATTCGTATCGTTAATTTTCTATTTTCTTTTTCCTTTCCGAATTTTTTTTCTTTCCTGTCGCCATTTCCGAACGAATTTTCAAACATGATTTATATATGCTCGGTAAAAAATTTAGAATAAAAAATTACTAATTTATCGATTATATCTATATATATTCATATTTCTTTTTTTTCTTTTTTTTTTAACAGATAATTTTGTTTGTCACCGATCAACGCGAAACTTTGTCATAAAAATTCTATTCGAAAGAAGAAAATTTCGTCGATAGTCAATCAAAAGATCATGTAAAAAATTTTCAAACCGATCGATCGTTTATTTTTTGTTTATCTTTGCCTCGAAATGTATTATTTTTTTTTTTATGACAGGAAATCCCGTATAATTTAGATGGAAGATAACATTGTGTCTTCGTTTATAGGGTAAAAGAAGAATAATCGTAAGAAAATAAGTTCATTTGCGAAAAATAGAATGATGTGTGAACGGAACACGGTAACTCGTGCAAAACCGTGTTCCAAACGAGAATGATAACAAGAAACTCGTTCATTATCTATCAGACCGTTTCTACGTTAGTTGAGACAAAGCACCAAACATGTGGTTAAACGGGAAGACGATGACGTTCGTGTAATATCGAAAATTAATCTTCCGTTTTTCTACGACTTCGTGTGTTATCGTTGACGTACCGAATTCTTGCCGAAGGATTTCTTTTTTCTAATTCAATTTATTTTTAAACAACGACCAACAAAAATAAAATAGATTATTCATTAAACAAATTAATTATTCAAGTTATAACAAAGCCAAAAAGAGAGAGAGAGAAAGAGAGAGAGAGAGAGAATGTATTATATTCTCATTTAAGAAATTTTGTTAATAATTAAATATTACAAGTATTTAAAGTAATTTTTGAAAAACACAATACTTAATTAGATTTTGATTAGGTTATATTAGTTAGTTAGCATACTCGCGTTACGTCGTACTATCATTGTCAAGAAGTTGGAATGTGTGTTGTACCTGGCACCAAGATGTAACGGTGTGCAACGTGCACATTAGCACGAGTACAACGTGCAATAGTTAGATATATGTAGAGAAAGAAAAAAAACTATCTATAGTTATCGTTAGGTACTCAACTCTCTAATGACCGGAAACCGAGTATGCGCACTCGTGCACGCGAGTATTGTCCGGTCTCTCTCTCTCTCTCTCTCTCTCGTTTTGTCTTTACACATTTACTAATGTATCATTCTTTTCTATCTTTCTTAACGTTCATAGCTTTCTATGTATGTTTACGTAAAGTCTGAACATGTCTGAGAAAAACCACGATCTTTTTCTGATTCTCTTACATTTTAATCATTTTCTTTTTCCTATTGCATACGGATGTTCCTTTAGATCTAAGTAAAATAGTTTGCGAAATAAAAGCAAAATCTAATATATTATTATTCCTATTTGTGTGTTATACGAATGATGTAATTGGTTACAATTTTTGTCGAGTATTCAATTTTCAACGATATTGTTTTTGAATTTGTTTGAAATATCTTTAGGAACTTTTTAAAAAAAACTTCGGTCTAAAATAATGGTTTGCAATCAAATCTTGAAATTAAGTTTATTACATTGTTATTCAATTTTCCGTGTTTAAAATATAAGAGTATGGGTTTTAGAATTTTTGTTCTTTTTTTGTAAAAAAAAATCTGCGCGAAATATCTGAATAAATTCATTGTTTTTCTTTGTCTCGAACACACTGTCAAAGAAATACGTTTAATCTATTCGATATTATTTTCAAATGATATTGAAATAAACAAGATCTTTTTGGATTGGATCGTCTGTTCGATTTGCGGTTCAAGAAACGAGTTTGTTCGATATCGAAAGGAGATTGGTTTGAAGTCAGAAGGCGTAGGTTGTGCACGAGCGGTGAAACGCCGGAGGAATGTTGTCCAACTGGTTTCAAACGTTTTGTGAGTTCGAGAGAGAAAATTGAAGAAGAAGAAGAACTAGCAGAAGAGGAGTTTGCTACGTAGGGTACCGTGCTATTCATCTACGTAAATAAGTATTTAAATATGCATATATATATATATAAATATACAAAACATGTTTCTTTTTAGTGTCACGCGTTTTTACTTTTTTTACAAATAAAATTCATAAAATAATTATAATTTAACTATCTATCTCTCTCTCTCTGTAATTACGTATACAAATAAATGACTTTTAAAAAATTTTCAACCGCAAATTATTTGGCTCCCGTTGAATTTATCGATTGACTCACGCGCGTTAATTAAAATAAAATATTTTTTTGTCGTAGTAAAATAATGTATTGTTCTTATTACCCTATATATATATAATAGTGTAATAAAAAGTTCGAATGATTTATTAACAATCAGAATTAAAAAAAAAAAAAAAAGAAACATTGTAAAACAGAAATCAATTGTTTGAACATAATATTGAAATTTCTATGCACATAATTACTTAACATATGGCAACCGAGAATTTTCTTTCTTTCTTTCTCTATCTATCTATCTCTCTGTTTCTTTCTCTTTCTACCTACTTTATAAGAATCTATAGTGTGTACAATCCGGATGACATCGTCTTGTAGAAAGTTGCGTTCCATTAGTACAGTCCGGTCACCCACGCTTTATTCTACGTGTGCTTTCGCCGTGAAAAATGGCGCGCTTTTTAAACTATCAAACAATGTCCTTGAAAGCATTAAAACCCTCCCCAAGTTATTCCCGATTTTTTAATCAACATAATTACGCGAATACAAGACTCGATTAAATAAATAAAAAATGAAAAGCAACGAATGATGAGTTTAACCATTTGCACTTTAAAGTTCAAAGTTCAACGTCAGCCAAAAGGAAGACAGATTGCTAGATTAGAAGGAATGAGAGAGAGAGAGAGAGAAAGATAGTAGACGTGCTGCTTGATCCACGCATCGAAATCTTCGAGAATCGTTCTTTTTTATCAACATGGCGGATCACTGATTCGCCACACGAAAGATTTCCACATTTCCATATATTATTTCGATTTAAATATAATATTTATATATGTTTTTTTTCTATTTTCTTATTCGTAGATTATTTCCTATACGTAGATTATACTTTTAAATTGAATATGATAAAAGCTACAATAAAATACTTACTAATAAAATATAAACAAGTATTTCGTTTTATTAGTATATCCTTTTTATAAAGGAATTTTATACATGATCACGTTCACGATCACACACTGGTACACAATGAAGATGGTACAAATGAGAATACTAAAAAAAGTCGAATCGATAAATCGAATAAAAGAAAAGAAAAGAAAAAAAGAAACAAAAAAAATAATGTAACAGGTAATGCACGCTAATTTTGAGAAACACGACAAACGAAGAAGACAATCCTTCGAGACACCTGCTACGATATCGACTTCCTGCACTCGACTGTCGATCGTAAAGAGGAGAACCTAATAGCAAGTCCTCGGGTTGTTCGATCCCCACCTCGGAAAGTCAGCTCGACCGCAACACTTTTCTCTCTCACTCTCTCTTTTTCTCTCCCTCTTTCTGTCTTTTTCTACGACCAGTTGTTTGTTCCCAGTGTGCAGAAGAGCACCTGCCCCCTACCACTAACAGCCATACTCTTTTCTTTCTTTTTCCCACTCTCTTTCCTTCTTTCTCTTTCTTTCGTTTAAACCTAATCACCCCCACTATGTTACAGGCTCGCTACTTGACGTTTACCTGTTGCCAGCCTGCGCGCGCAAGTTCGCGGTTTTCCACGTTTCTTTTAACACACGAGTGTTGCTTCAAAAGTTCTCGTTAGTTTTTAATTATTATATAGTAAGCGATATTGGATTTACGCGATTCATTATTATTTTATCGTTAAAGGTTAATAATTTGAATAATGATCAAATAAAATATTATGCATTACGCCATTAAGGATAATAGGAAATAGAAAATCAAACGTAGACCCGTTGAAATTGTAGACCTGAAACAGATACTAAAAAACATTAACCATTATATTAATAGAAATCTTTAAAATTTCTAATACATTTCACAAATATTTCAAGTTAGAATATATTTGTCTGATCATTATTATTAATAATAATTTTTCATATTTTATATTTTGTGTTTGTGTATATGCCTTCAGAAATGCATTTATACATATAGTTTAAAAAGTGTAA